GTAGAGCGCTAGCCTTGAGCTGAAGAGCTGAGGGACAGCGCCCAGGCCCAGAGTTCAGGCCCCATGACCGGACCCCCCCCCAAAAAAAAGAATAAGCATACACTGAATGCTTTCAGATAGGGTTCTTCTACTTCCTAGTAAAGCTAGTAGTGATTTAAAGGAATTCAAGGGAAAAAGAACACAGAAGAAGCAGATGAAGCTGGATGCCGCAGTACAAGCTGACAATCCCAGCCATTGGGAAGCTGGGGCTGGAGGATTACAAGCTCAAGGACAGCATGGGCGATGTAAGTGAGCTGGTGACAAGCTTGAACTTGTAAGAACTTGTCTCAATAAATCCCCCCTCACCCTTGAAAAAAAAAGAAGCAGGTAAGATGATTCCTTCTCTGACAGCACGATATATTTATTAATTATATATATAATTTTTATTCTTACAAGGAGTGTGTATTTTAATATTTTATTCAACAAAAATAATTGCACAGAGCCTATGAGAAAACTATCGGTGGATGGGATATTTCATTTCATTAGCTTTTCTCTATTTGAAGTTTCTGTATTGTTTTAATTTCTTACAATAAACATGAAATGTTTTATGAAAACAATTATTTGACAGGATAAATTGTACATGGCTTAGTCTGTCAAAGTTTGATGAGCCTAAATGTCTATCTTGACTACAGTGGGTCCAAGAGGTACATTCTAGTAACAAGTTTACTTATGTCACAACACATAAACCCACATAAGTGAGACATTATTTTAACTTTCAATATTTACTTAGGAGAGCTAACACCCTAATATTTTCTAGTTTACTAGTTTTCTAGTTTACTAGCATATACGTTTTAGTCTAACAACTGTATATCAGAGCTATCAGTTAAAAATGCTTTTCAAACTTGACAGCCAGGACATACCTGCTGCAAAACCTTCCTTTTGGTGCAAATATCATTTGTCTATTAAAAAAAATACCACACAGTGAATTTTTCTCAGCAAGATTCCCAAAAACTTACTGTGTGCTAGAACCTAAAATTAAGCATAGGGTATGATCTTGGGTTTGGGTGTATTAGGTTTCCATCACCAAAACAAAATACCAGAGACAATCAACTTACAAGAAGTTTCATTTTAGCCAGATGCCTGGTGGCTCACACCTGTAATCCTAGCTACTCAGGAGGCTGAGATCTGAAGATCGTGGTTCAAAGCCAGCTCTGGCAGGAAAATCCATGAGACTCTTCTCTCCAATTAACCACCAGAAAACCAAAAGTGGTGTTGTGGCTTAAGTGATAGAGCACTAGCCTTGAGCTGAAGAGCTAGGGTCAGACCAACACACATACCCACAAAAAAAGTTTCATTTTGGCTCACAATTTTGGGGGTTTTAGTCAGTGATCAGTTGGCTATATTGCTTTTGACCTTTGATGAGAAAGTACATTGCGGCAAAAACAAACCACTCACTTCATCACTAGGAGGCAAAAGAATGTGTGCTTAGTGTGCTTGGGTGGGGGTAGGGCAGAGAGGCAGAATCCCACTAGCTCCTTCAAGGGCATGCCTCAACTCTTCTCACTGGGCTCCACCTCTTAAAGTTTCTACCTCCTTCAGCAGTGCCACCTTGGGGGGGGGACTATCTTTTAATATCTTTTAATACATGGGACTTTGAAGGATCTGAACTATAGCAAACATAGGCTGCTGACTGCTGCTGTAAGTTAGATTAGAAGCTATTCTGGACATATAAAGGGAAGTGCCTGATTTGTTCTGTGGGGCAGGGTGATGGAGGAAGACGAGGCAGAGTAGCCACACGAGCAAAGATCAGTGCCAATGGTGTGTAGGCAGGTAACCTTCCAGCAACAGTCATAATAGCAAACAGTGAGAGAAGAGGTAGTGACTTACTCTTGTATTCCTCTATTTTTATCTGTCCTCATGAGTGAACTTTAGGATGTTCAAGTCACAGAGATCAAACCATTTCTAAAAAGAAACTTCCAAGACTTCTGTCAGGAACAAGACACAGAAACCCATGGTATGGTCCCTGTTACTAAAGGGAAATAGACCAGTTATTCTTTTTTTGACAGTCTTGGGGCTTGAACTCAGAGCCTGGGCACTGTCCCTGAGCTTTTTTTGCTCAAGGCTAGCACTCTACCACTTTGAGCCACAGCGCCACTTCTGGCTTTTTCTGTTTATGTGATATTGAAGAATTGAACCCAGGGCTTCATGCATGTTAGGCAAGCATTCTACCACTATGCTGCATTCCCAGCCCAGCCCAGTTATTCTGACATAAGACATTGCATGCAGTCATAAATTCTGCTTCAATATATTAAGTGAGGAAATGCAAGAGATCACTCAGCTCTTTGCTGTCTCCTGTAGATGTCCCAGGTCAGCAAGAAGGTGTAGCTTTGTTCCCGATAGAGTACTCTATCTCTGATGGATGAGTTAGCTGAAATGCTACTTCCTGTTTTTACTCACTTATATCTGAAAAGCACCATTGTGATTGGAGCTGGAGCTGAAGCCAACAATCTAAAACTTGTGAAAGGCCTGTGTTCATTGACAATAACCTGTGCCTGGGTTGTCTGAGCAATTTTCAAACCCTCAGGCTTGACAACCAATGATGTGGATATTATTTTGGCTCATTACTTTGGTAAACCTAAATCTGATTCAAATCTTGAGACTGTGTATTTCCCAAGATATCAAACAAGAAAACCTACAGTTCTTCCTGGGTGCCTATAATGCACACAGCAACCAGGAGAGTAAAAGATACATACTGAGCCACAATGAAAAAAAAAATCAAAGATTCTACTTTACTGGTGGTAGGGGACAGAATGCAGTTTTCACTTCAACCCTATAAATCCAACTTTGCTAAAGATTGAAGACTATGAAGTACTGACTGAACCCTTTGAGTTTCTTTTTGCAGGGTATATCCTATGCCAGATTTGTTTCCCCATTGTGAAACCACTCAACCTGGATAAAATCAGCTCTGGAGAAAGTCACTTCAGTCAGTCTGTCATCAGCAGTCAGTCAGAACTCAAAGATCCTGTGAGCCCTCTGAAGTCCTAGACAGATTACAGAGGTGCCCTGCTATACAGATGTCCATCTCCTGGGTTATGCAAGTCCATCCTTCACATGAACACTCTATAATAGAATATTTCATCTGTCAGTTGGCTTCCACTATCTTTCACTGATTGGATAGCCACTGAACATTTCTAGTAGCCCAAGTTTATCATTCTCTTATACACCCCTCTTTTTATTTTCAAGAACCACATCCTTGCCATTATTATGCTATTCCAATATCTTTAGCGGATCCAGTTTCCATAGCTTCTCTTGCGAGCTTTCCCTTCACTCCCCAACTATGTACCTAAGATTGATTCCCAACTCCATGTGAATGCAAGTGTATCTGTGTTTGTGTGTGCAAAGTTATGTAATTTTAGACATACTTTCTTTTTTGGGGGGGGGTCCGGTCGTGGGGACTGAACTCTGGGCCTGGACGCTGTCCCTCAGCTCAAGGCTAGCGCTCTACCACTTGAGCCACAGCACCACTTCCGGCTTTTTTCTTTTTATGTGGTGCTGAGGAATCGAACCCAGGGTCTCAGGCATGCAAGGCAAGCGCTCTACCACTGAGCCACCTTCCCAGCCCTAGACATACTTTCTTGTCGTGCTTCAGCAAAAAACAGAAATGTGACTCTTTAGATTCTCAATAGTGTGTGTTTTTTAAGGGAATTTTGGAGAACAGATATTTAGGCAGTGTAGGCCACTAGATTCTCTTTGGGCTCCAAATTGGTCAATACAATTTAAAGGGAGACAGCAGTTATGAGGAATGTAGAAAATCACACTACAGTTTGGATTATTGATAAATTCTGATTGACAGTAGAAGGGTTGCCTGTCACATAGACAAATAGACAGGTGGCAGCCACCTCCTTTGTGTCCAAATGGATTCATATTTGCTATTCTATAAACAAAAAGCAAGGCTATATCTCATTGGAAGCATATGAAGGATGAGAATCTCATACAACATTAATTTTCTCCAAATAATTCAACTACTAGACTCTTAGCAGACAAAAATGCAGACCAAAATGCCAGCTTCTACTTTGCAGACAAAAATTTCTGTCACTGTTGTATCTGCTAGCACTTACCAGTCATCCACACATCTGTAGGACAACCCTCCCAGGTCTGTGACGGAGGGTGGTTCTCTATCCTTCAATCCAAAAATGAGAAAGGAAGAAAAAAATACAAAAAGGGGGAGGTATGGCCTAAAAATGACACTGATGGCAAGTATGTGAGCCAGGAGGGGGGGGAAAGGAGCAACCATTAACAAGATGTCACATGAAGTGGGTGTATGTAGACATGGCTCCAGAAGATTTCCCTGAAGCTAAATTAATATGGAACCCATTTCTAAGAAAAGGTCTTAATGCTATAATTCCCTTTTTGTAGGAGGGAATAGGCTGATCTGTAAGGCAGCTTTGCCCTGATAGAATCTGTTTCAACCCCTCATGCATTGTAGATGGGGAGGAGGTTGTCTCATCAGTCAGATGAATGTGAAAGTATCAGAGGCCACACATCAAGGGCATAAGTAGATGGTACCAGCAGGAGATGTAACTTGGGGTTACCCAATTTCCAGTTTTAGAAAGACACTTCGCAGACATATTGTTTGCTCTCTGCTAAGATAAGGAAAGTATAACTGCCAGAATACAACTTTAAAAAAACAAGTTATTAGAGCTACATAAGTCTCATTGTTACTTGAAGATAAACAGGGGTAAAATATATGTGTGTGTGCTATGTATTTTTGTATAGTCCACGTGTACATGCACATATACATATATACATGCTATCTAATGCTATACCACCCCTGGAAAGACGGGGCCAGCCCTGGTGTCACTGGCACTGCTGAGAAAGGAAGTGGTGGCTGTCAAAGAGAGGAAGAGACTGTTACCTAACGCTGTATACCTTTCAGCTTTGAACCATGGGCAATTACTATTCATTGAAAAATAAAGTTAAAACTAAAGGCCAAGTTAAAAAAATAGGAATTGACTATGAAAAAGCATACATGACGTAAATCACAATCCAAGGAACGTTGGGAGCCATGCATATGGCATTAGAGATGTAACACTAATAAATAATCTAATGAATTCCTCTCAACCTCAACTCCTAATCTAAATACACATTTCACAAATGAACAAAGAGCAGCCAGAGCAGGGTGATTTCCTCTTGGCAAAGCTCCATGGCTACCTCAGATCTTACAGTCACTCAAGCTGAGGTTCTTGGATTGGGTGGGTTGGTCCTCAAGCCCTTGGCTGAACTTAGTGGCAAAGAGCTTGATGATGAGGTCATCCGCAATTTCCAGAGCCACATCGTATGCTGTCTGGCCTCTTGCATTCTTCTTTTGGATGCTTGCATTGCATCTGGAAGGAAATGGAGAAAAAGGAGCCCTGAAGTGCTCAGGCCCATGATCCCCAAGGCCCAACTCTTCCCTGTCACAAAGGCCAGACTGGTTACCTATTGGTCCTACCTCCTCAGACCTGTCCCTAAGAGGTCACCATGGCTCTAAGCTGTCAGTGGTGACTCTACCTGAGACCTTTTAAGATATTGTATTATTTCAAAATACTCAATTGTCAGTATAGCCATTGGTTCCAATTTACATCAAAGCTCTACAACCAATGGTGTTTAATGAGGGCAACATTTTTATTGTGCTTCAAAATCCCTGACTGGCAGAGGTCACAAGGCAGCATGGTGGCCCCCATTCACAAAGGTCGCAGTTTAGGAGCTGGGCTCCTCTAAAATGACCACGGGTAGGTAGAGAGATCACTCTGGCCCTCAGTAGTGCCCACCAGAGGCCAAGGAACTTACCCCAGTAACATGGTGACACTCTCCTCCAGGCCAAGCAGGGTTGCTTCATGAAGAGCTGTATTTCTGAACCTGTTTGTTGGGCAGGGGCAGGGGCAGGGTGTAAATCCTTAGTATCCTCAGGAATTCGACCAAAGGTTGGTGGTTTCACTCATTAACCTACTCACCTGGGAAATATCTGTCAATCTCTCTCTCTCTCTCTCTCTCTCTCTCTCTCTCTCTCACACACACACACACACAGCTTTGTACTTGGTAACCAAGTACTCTACCACTTAAGTACACCCCCAGCCTGAACTTAGGAAAATCTCAAGTATCCCTCTGTGCCCCTTCCCTTGGAGGAATACTGTATACTGTGATGGAAAAGCTTTGATATCCCTTTGATATCCCTCCCTCCCTCTCTCCCTTCTTTCCTTCCTTCCTTTCCTCCTCCTCCTCCTTCTTCTTCTACTTTATGTTACTGAGTATTGAACTTAGAGAACATTGTACCTGCTAGGCAAGCACTCTGTCACTGAGCTACACCACAGCCCATCATTCTTTCTTTCCCCCTTTTTTTTCTTACCTACCCTCCCTTCCTTCCTCCCTTCCTTCCTCCCTCCCTCCCTCCCTTCCTCCCTTCCTTCCTTTCTTCCTTCCTTTTTTCTTTCTTTTCTTTCTTTCTTCTCTCTTTCTCTCCTTATTTCTTCCCCATCTCTATTTTTTTGTGTGCTGGGCTTGAACTCAGAGCCTAGGCTTTGTCTTGAGCTTTTTTGCTCAAAGCTGGAGCTCTACCATTTTAGCCACAGCTCCACTTCTGGCTTTTTGTTGGTTAATTGGAGATAAGAATCTCTGGGGGGGGGAGGATTGGGT